TCAGCTCAATGACTCGTTAAAAACAGCTTAAGTTCAGCTCAATGACTTGTTATAAACAGCCAAAGTTCAGCTCAATGACTCAAACAGCTGACGTTCAGCTCAATGACTCGTTAAAAACAGCTTAAGTTCAGCTCAATGACTCGTTAAAAACAGCTTAAGTTCAGCTCAATGACTCGTTATAAACAGCCAAAGTTCAGCTCAATGACTCGTTATAAACAGCCGAAGTTCAGCTCAATGACTCAAACAGCTGACGTTCAGCTCAATGACTCGTTAAAAACAGCTGACGTTCAGCTCAATGACTCGTTAAAAACAGCCAAAGTTCAGCTCAATGACTCAAACAGCTGACGTTCAGCTCAATGACTCGTTAAAAACAGCTTAAGTTCAGCTCAATGACTCGTTATAAACAGCCGAAGTTCAGCTCAATGACTCAAACAGCTGACGTTCAGCTCAATGACTCAAACAGCTGACGTTCAGCTCAATTACTCGTTAAAAACAGCTTAAGTTCAGCTCATTGACTCAAACAGCCGAAGGCCCAAATATTAAGATAAATTTATCATTGTGTTCAGAAGGCATGAGCTCTCCTCTCACACGCACACACACACACACGCACACGCACACAGGAAGCTGATCTGTGGTCTTTGCCAGTTGTTGTTTCAGGACCTGGACCGACGGGGATGTGGGAACCTTTCAGAACCGTATCAGAGGGCCCCACCTGCTTCCTCGGCCCCCTCCATGGCGATGGGCCCCGGCTGAGGGGTCTCGCCGTTCTTCAGACAGTTGTGGATGTAGGTGGCCTTCCAGCGGGCGTACTTCCTGTGCTGAATGTTCTGGAGGAGAATTAGAAAAGAAACATGAAACGTGTAAACAACCCAAACTTCACGTTTGGGTCGGGCCGGAGCGACCCGGTCTCTACAGAACCCAGATTTTATCAAGAACTCCTCAGACTTGTGGCTGGAGTCTTATGGTGTTTTAATGGTGGTTTTATTATCGCCGTGCGCCGAGCTCGGGGACTTTCTGAACCTTTTAGACTCTTCGTCTTGTTTGGTCCGGGTCGGGTCCAGCACAAGAACTCGGCCACAGTCTGGACCTTGTGTTGACTTTGGGTTTATTGAAATACGTGACTCTGTGTCCTCTGCTCACGGTTCTGTTTGAAACCCGCCTGCACCGTCAGGATGTTAAACGTGAACTCATCCAACCCACGGTCTGAAGCTCGTCTCTAATTTTGTTGAGGAAAATTCTGACACTCTTCGGGTTCGGCTCGGTTCTGAACACCCCTAAAACCACAGGTCTCTGCAGCTCCTGTAAGAGCTGTAAAAAGTTTCTGTTTATTTGACCAACAAAGCTGACGGGTCAGCGCATGGATCACAGGTCCCGTCTTTAACCAGGTCTCGTGTGTAAAGAGTGAAACAGATCTCCACATTCACCCTGAAGAAACGCACAAGTCACAGAAATAACCCGATTACACAGACGGGTCCTAAAAGACAAAAAATGTGACGCTTAATAAATAGAAACGTCACAAAAGTTTAATTTACATTTTCTGTCAAAGTGAAGAGTTGTCACATTTCTGCCACCTACAGATGTTTAAAAATCATTTTCCTCTTTTTATTTTTTAAATCACACAAAGAAACAACTACGTAGTTTCTACCGGTCTGAGAAACAACAGCTGAGACCTAAACCCTCAGCGCCGCTGGACTCTGGGCCTCAGCGCCTCTTTAATGAGTTTATGTATTTAGTTGTAGATTTAACTGTTTTAGTTGTAGATTTCACTGTTTTAGTTGTAGATTTAACTGTTTTAGTTGTAGATTTAACTGTTTTAGTTGTAGATTTAACCGTTTTAGTTGTAGATTTAACCGTTTTA